CGTTTCTTGCAGGAATTTTCAGATGATGCCCCTTCAATGGTTCGATCTACCTCGAACTGGAACCTCGTCTAGACTGGCCGCTTCGACGGCCGAAAGCATAGACATCCCTGGTAAGAAGGCGAATACCCCGATCCGCGAACAAAGGACGCTGCCCAGCCTTAAAAAGGCAATACGAACCATTATTCTCGAGTCACGCCTGAATTAAATTCGAAGGTGTGCCGGCTCAGATCTGTTGTGTACTTGTTATTGACACCAATTCAGGCGGCGTGTTGGGGGCGTGTTGCGCCGTGTTGCGCCGTGATCTGGTTACGCACCGCCGCCCCTTTGGAGCTCGCCACCGCCATGACCCTGGGGGGTATATAAGAAGTCCGTTAGTGGAGAAGCCCCCTAGTGATTTCCGCCCCATCACATCGCTGTCATCGTTTCCCCGCCTAGAGCTATACATATTGGTCTACTTGCTCGCCATGCCCTCCCTTGAAGACAACAGCGCTTCGGCCGACCGTGTTAGGTGGCGGATCCATTACCCTAAACAACGGTCGTTGTCAGAGTGCGGTCACTTGGTACAAAGTACGACTTGCGGCTCAGATATCCTCTCTGCTGATGTGCTAACCTGTCGTCGAATAATTACAGGGCCCGAAACAATCCGCCACAGCAACGCTGTCATGGCACTCGCGTACTCTCGCGATAGCAAACTTCTCGCCACCGGGGCCAAACCTAGCCTAAATGGAAAAGGCAACAACGCAGGAATCTTTATCTGGAACACGTCAACCAGGACTATCGAACGGACCCTCGAGAAGGACGCGTCGAAAGACTACCCCGCTGTCTTTGCACTTGCTTTCTCCCCCGATGGAAAACGCATCGCGTCGGGCGACAGTAGCGGGCAGCTTGAGGTTTGGGACGTCGAAAGCGGAAAATGCCTCGAGGCGATACGCGGGCGCGTTCCGAAGCGGGCGATCCACGCGCTCGCTTGGTCCCCGGATGGCAAATGGATCGCGTCGGGCTCGGACGACGCCAACATATACCTATGGGATGCGGAGACGTACGTGGATTGGGAGTTGAAGATACCTGGGGGCGAGGGGAAAGTCGCATCCATGTGCTTCTCACGAAACAGCCGGTGGCTCGCGTCGGAGATGGAGAACCGTCGCTGGCACATCTGGTCCGTCGTGGGAGAGGATAAGTCACACTGGCATATAGAACTGTCCCTTTGTCGGGGCTTGATGTGGCTCGGGGACTCCGAAGCGGACGACAGGAAGGTGGTGGCGTGCCTGAAAGACGGGAGCGTGTACGCGTCGAGCGGCCGAGTCGACAAGGATGGGACGCTCGAGGCGCCCGAGTGCGTCGAGGACTCCAGCAGGTATTCGGCGCGGAACGCTGTGTTCAGCGAGGATGGATCGTACGTTCTCACTAGGTGGAAAAGCTCACCGTTGGAGATACGGCTGCGCGACCTGTCCGAGCACAGGCTCGTGCTCGAGGGCGAAATGGGCGAGATCAAGGCAATGTGCATCTCGCCCGACGGGAAGTATGTCGCATTGGCGTGCCGATCAATGGATTTCACCGCGTGCGTGTGGCGCGTCCGCTATTGTACGCTAATCGGGATCAACCAGCACGACGCGGAGGTGGAACGGATTATGTTCAGTCCTGACGGCGCTACGTTTGCGTCCGGCTCAAATGACGGCGCCGTTTGCATTCGGTCCGTGGGAGGGGAGGACAGTGGTGGCGCATAGCGAGATGAGACAAGGAAACCGAAGGGGAATGTCGGACGAGTGGAGGTTGATTCGTCGGGCGCAGGCTTGATATCCTTGCCTAGCTCGAAGAGAGCGAGGGTGGGGGCGGTGTCATGCCCACCAGTGCTTAGTTCTTCGTAGGCCGGGCCCGAGAGCCATACAGAGAGCAGGTTGATAGGGTACCACAAGCTTTCACATACCATTGTTATTCATGCCGCGATCCCGAGCTACACATGGGTGCATCTTCCCCGCTAAAGCTAGCTCGGGGGACCCCGTTTCTAGAGTGACCGACGTTCGTTCGGCGGAGACTGGGGCGACGTCAGCCAATACATCTGTAAGATATTATTGCCGAATACACACCTGTGTCTGTAGATTGGATTTACGGGTTCACGCGTCCAAAGAGTCTTGCGAGGTTCCGAGGGCGATATCGTGTCCCGGAACGGCTTATGTTGATGGACCAGCCAGACGAAGGGGATGTGAGTGCAGTGAGCATTGCCGAGCAATAGAGATGGCTTATATCGGTGAGAGAGACCGGCCCTATACCGTCGAATATGTGCTGCTAATGGTCGAAATCCGTCGTGGAGGAAGAGAAAGGAGACAGGGAGCAGAGGCGCTGACGCCACAATGCGGTCACATGACACATCCCACGCAAACGAACGCGAACGCGTCCGACGCGCGTCTGTCGCTCTCTCCTCTCGCTCTCCGTCATCGGTGCTCGTCTTTGCTGGACCGATGTGAAAGATGTCAAAAGTACTTGCTTTGCGTGCTCAACCTAGATCGAGTCGCGGAACCTGCCCAGTAGAACGTGCAGATCGAGTCGCGCCGAGAGGTGTACGAGACCTCCACCAGCAGCTCCCTCGCCGCCGATGCCCGCTGACAGTCCAGGTGGGCGGTGGGCACCAAGATGCTCGACTAGCATAGGCGAGTTTCCCCAAATATACCGTGCGTTCTTGAACTCTGATTTCTTCCTTGAAATTATTGTGGGATGTGTCGGCGCATTTTGTCTTTTCGACGTACGAGATGTTGCCACAGCGCAAGTGCCTACCGAGTGCTCGTCAATTTTATGGTTCTTGAGACGCAACCAGTAGCCAAACAAGGGAGACGGGAGCGGCATCGGGCGAGAACGACTGGTCGGATCGGGGACTGTAAGACTTGTAGCGCTGACGCGGGACTCTGGTCTTTCTAGCATACTTGGACGATCGTTCTGCGCGATGTCGTCAGCTTGCCAATGCGACGCTCTCAGGAAACGTATCGGACTCGGCCTACCGCACTGTGGCTCCGGTTCCTCCTGCGGCTGCGCGTCTCGCGTCTCGATTCCCCACTACCACCGTGGCCTTGATATGTAATAGCTATGCCGCGCTCCATGTCTATTCCTCAAGGCCTCACAGTCGACGCATATATTTCTTCTGGAAGGTCGCGCTAGCGCTCGGCTGGACAGATGTATTCCCTGAAGCTCGACTACCATGTGTACGCGTTACTGAAGTCCCGGCAGCCCCCCGCTCGAGCAGTGGAACTGGTCGTCGCTCTGAATCAGGAGCGTAGCAGCGCCGAGAAGCTGAAACGCCAAAACTCCAACGACTTGGTTCCGGAGGCGTTCGTGCGACGCCACCCCGGAGTCATTAACAGGTGAGTGTGTGATTCGTAGTTTGGGAGGTGCTTCATGCCGGCTGAGAGAGACGAAAACGAAAACGCGTCGTTAATGCATCTGCATAAGTTGGAGCACGTTCTGCTGTACAAAACGACGGACCCGGAGTACGCACTGAAATCCCCCATCGCCGTTCTGGCATACGTCGTCCAACACAGCATCGGATGCGACTTCTCGCGCTAGATTCAGGAGCGGATCGACGTGGTTTGGAATACGTTGCTATGGGTCAGGTACGTCCGCTATGATGTTCACCGCATCTGTCGCCGGACTCTGACACGACACCTATTACTGCTACAGCATGTTATTCACCTCGGCAGATACCCCCCGGATCTCGTGCGCAATCGTAAGGCATACAAGTCTGCGCAGGTGGCAAGAGAGACTCTCTACATCCCCAGTGCGGCCACGACGCCTTGCAGGGTCAGGAGACGACGGTACGTTATGGATTCGGCAGACATAGCGTGTACGGGAGTTCTGATCTCTCCCGGAACAGGGGCTGAGATATCATGCATGAGAACGCATTCCGCTCCAATAGCGTGCTCGACGATACGAGGATTGTGGACACATTATAGAAAGATCGAGGTACGAGGCAGGCGTTTGGTGCGGGACAATGTGTTAAGATACGGGACTATATCATATCTATCAGCTGAACGGGTGTAAAATGCACGGCGATCTCAGTGAGTGCAAGTATTCCCTGGGTACTATAAACTGTCGTGTTCATAAATGGCGGATGTTGCGTGTGTAGAAGAATCACCAAACAGACTGGTAGCGTAACTGAAGCGTGTACTATTCCACATCCTTATCGTACTCTACGGTTAAGTCCCGTCATGACGATTCCGTACTAACGGTGGCCAACAATGCGCTTCAAGTTCTCCCACAGAGGACGCCGACGTGCCTCTGCTGAATGCGACCGGCGCCACCTCTTACCCCCACCATCCACACAGCTCCAGGTAGGATTTACCTCTCCACAATAGATGTAGCCATCTGGCGATGCGCACGCGGCAAACTTGGTGTCCGGTGAAAACCCCACACTGCTGATTGTCATGCAGTAGTCGTGCCAGCCTGCGGGCTTGTCACTAAACCCTGGCTCAGATAAGCTCCGCCAGCAGCGTAGAATTCCCTCGGCCGTCCCAGTCAGTAGAAGCTTGCCATCGGACGAGAACGACGCATCTAGCGCCGGGCAAGTGTGGTGCGTCGAGCGCAAGATCTCGACCTCAATAGGACGTTCGTCCCTGAAGCCAGTGGTCCAGACGCGCACCTGCTTATCGCTCGAGCAAATGACGATGTGCGCACCGAGAGCGTCGAACCGCGCGTTAAGGATGGTCTCCGGCGGTTCCGGACCAGAAATTGTTGCCCGCTTCGTTCCGGTTTGGACGTTCCAGATATCACATCGACTCCCTATCCCCGGGGTGTTGAATGCGAGCAGAGCAATGTCGGGGGAGAACCGTGCGAAGGCGAGGGTGCCGCGGGGATGACGGCCGAATCCATGATGGACCACCTTCTTGACGCCCGGCTGCAGGGTGTATACGGCTATGTCATCGGAGCATATCGCGATGCGCGTGCCGTCGGGATACCAAGATACCGCGAGCACGGAGGCCTGCGAGGCAAGTTCATAGATGTGTTGTACGTTCAACTGGGTTTCCCAGCCGCCAATGCCATATCCGATAGACCACACGTAGACATAGCCGTTGTGCCCGGACGCGAGTTGGCGGCCGTCTGGGGAGAAAGCAAGTGCACAAACGGAGAACCCGACCGCTCGTTGCGCGACAGCGATTGAGGGATCCGTTGTCCGTCGGAGAAAAATATTCCCGTCCAAGGAGCCATGGGCAACCCACTTGGAGTCGGGTGAGAATGCAAGGGCGGTGGTGCGCTGTGGGCGGTCTTGCGAGGAGACGAGGGGTCCTCGATAGCGTTCTTCCGACGGCGCATCTGGAGGATAGGGCCACGGCGTCAGGCCGTGGGGCGCTCCGACGGCGGGTGCGCTCCTCCTTCGACTCGGAGCGGTTCCGACATCGCGAGGGGGCGGGGCGAGTCCGGCGTCTTTTGCGGTGTGCATCCGAGCATCCTGACGGTCGAGTTCTGAAGACGTGCGCTGGTTAACATCGCAATACGTGCTACGGTATACCATTCTGTACTCTCACCATTTAGGATCGAATCTCGGGCAGAGGCGAACTGGGTTCTCTCTACGGAAGAAGCGCCACTGGCAGGCGACGAGGGCGGCGACTCAATGATAATAGTGATCTCAGGGGATGACCTTCGCGACGACTCGGAAGCAACATTCCGCCGTGCTCCTTCTTGCTCTTCCGACGGCGCATTTGGGTCCCCGGTGCGGAGCCTCCTCGAGCGGGGGTTCACGTTGTCCACGGAACCGTGTGAAGTGCTTCTGTAAAGACGATCGGCTGCTGGTTGTAATATGCGGGTCAGTATTGTACGAGTATGCCAAAACGACGATACGCACTTACACCGCCGTAGCGGGGAGGTGCACGTAGCGTCTTCAGGTCGGGGATAGATGAAAGGCTGGATCGGGCGCCCTGAGTGATACCGGCGGCGTCATGAGAGCGCATGACGGGGGAATATGCGGGGCCGTAGGAGAAGGCAGATTCGTGTCTCGTGTCCATTGGGTGAGAGGTGAAGGGTGGGATTTCCTGCGTGTACGGGAGAGGACTCCGAGTCAAGGAGCACTTATATATCTGACATGGACTATTCAGTGTATCGTCGGGTTGGTATATACCGCAGATCGATAGGTCGAGCTGAATAGCACGCACCTACACTATAGCACCCCATTTGTATGTCGGTATTGCAAGACGGAAGTGCTATAGTTCAGCTATGTTTTACGAGTGTATATGAATACATACGTACTACACGTAGACGTGCTGAACCCTGCGTTGATGTACGGGCGGCTGCACGCTGATTATGATGCGAGCGGTAAACCTGGTCATAATGAAGATCCAGTGAATAAAGCGCGCCGAGATTCGAGGTATTCAAAATGACCGCCGCGCGAGGCACTGGGGTGCTGTGAGAACAAGAGTCGGGGAGAATTGAGAGACGCACCCGCTAAAATTGACACAAAACTTGGATGCTTCGGTCGTGTCGAGGACGAACATATCGTACTTAACCTCTTCGCTGACCACAGCAGTCCGAGTTGCGATCCTGAACGAAACACGGTCGCACCTTCACTGTTCAAACGTTCAAGGTTCGATTGTGGACGGCTCTGCTCGCCTGCACATGCGATTGCCCGAGTCCATGGCCGGGGCATATGTCGGCGACCTACTAAGAGCGGATGCGAGGGCCATGACGCGCAACAGCACAGCGGCTGAAAGAGGGCTAGTACGCTACCAAATGAGTCTACGCTGTTTTCGACGTGGAGGAAGAGAGAGAAGACGCGAGCCCGGGGAAGCTGAGAGCGGAGGCGCCGACGCCACAATGCGGTCACATGACGCATCCCACGCGAACAAACGCGAACGCGCCTGGGCGTCTACTGTCGCTCTCTCCTCTCGCCGTCCGTCATCGCTACTTGTCTTTGCCTGACTGGTCTGAACGATGTCAAAAGTCCTCCGCGTGCCGAAGCTCGACCTTGCGGCTGTCCTCGCACAGCAGAACCCGACGATCGATCTCCGCCTCGACGCGTACGAGGCCTCCACCCGCAACTTCCTCGCCGCCGTCTCCAACTACACCCAGCGCGCCGTCGCGGAGATCCAGAACCGCAAAGATGCGTACGCCGCGGAGAAGAAGCGCTTAGCGGAGAAGGCGCTGCAGATTGAGGCCGAGACGAATCAGTGCAAGCTCAAGGAGATCGAGCTTATCAAGGGTACGTCCACCTTCCTCCTCCCCGCTGACCGCGCGCTGACTGGGCATAGTGCTGGATAAGGAGCAGGAGGAGAGGAAAGAGGCGGAGGCGAGCGTTGCGGCGCTCCGGAGGCAGCTGAACTCGGTCAAGGACAAGTGCGCGAGCCTCGATGTCGAGATCGAGCAGCACCGCGTCGTCGCCGCCAACCTCCTCCGCGAGCGCAAACGCGAGCAGGCCATCCTCAGCGCCCATTCGGCACGCGCACATCCGGAGGTCGCGGCGTGCGAGGCGGCGCTGAAGTGCGTCGTCGAGGGCATCGGCCAGGACAAGATCCTCGTCCGCTGGACGCACATCGACCCCGCCGACCACGACCGCGAGTTCAGTATCGTCATCGACGTCTCGAGTCGTGTATACAAAGGTACGCCCTCTGTTGCGCTCGGTTTTCTGCTTTTCGCCCCGCTCATAGGCGTCAGTGCCGACAACAACACCGTTCCTCCCCACCCTGCCCATCCTGCTCGACGAGCTCAACGACTCGCGCGACATCTACGCGTTCATTCGACACGTTCGCGCCGCCTTCCGCGAGCTCGTCGCTGGCCGATGACCTGTCTGTTCCCGCCCCGTTTTCCGTGGACGCTGCTTGGGCTTGTTGTACTGTATACCACCCTGGACCTCCTGCATCAACACGACGGCTCTTCCTACGTCTTGTCTGCGTCCATGCGTGCGATGGGGTGCGGCTCTCCGTGTCTGGCGCTCCAAGTGTAGGTCGGCGGCGACACCCAGGTCTCAGGGGGTTGAGCGTATCCGTATTCGTATTTTCGTCGAGCGCGTGCTTGCTGAAAAGCTGTATCCGTGTGTTCGGCTTGGACGGACAAACGTGTTCGGCACGCGGATTGGACATTTTCCGCTGATATTTTACCTTATAGATGGCGTGTCCGTGCTGTTGCGTTGCGTTGCGTTGGCTTGGGGTGTAGCGGCTGGCTGTCTGCGCTGGCTCTGAGAGTGGGAAAGAGGTGCGTCGTCGCCGAGCCGTCATCTGCTAGTTCCACTACGACGGTCATTCGCTCGATAGTGTCCTCAAGGTATGTCCACTGCAACGCTCTGCCGCTGCGCGCACATCGCTGACAGAGCTTCGGATATACGCGAATCTGGAGACCAGGCCAGGATCTCTGTCGCATGGTCGAGATACGGACATCTGCACGTTCGTGGCCCTCCGGTACGCCTCTCGCGCGGTCGCCAGGGCACCCCCCGACCTAGCTCCCGGGATGTCTCCCTCTGGCGTCCTGCAAGCGCGCCGCAGGCTGCGCATTCAGGTGGGCGTACGCTCGCCATTCTCTCTCGGCCGTCCGTGCAGCCGAGCGTGGGCCTGTGCGTGGGCTTCTGCGGGCGAGGAGGGGCACCCGTGCGTTACGAGGGGCTCGGGGCGTGTGTGCGCGAGAGGTGAGTCGGTTTGAGTGGTTGTGCGTGGGGACTCCGAAACGAGAGGTGAGCGTGTGGGGTACGTGGGGGCTCGCATCGAAAGTCATTCGGGTGGCAGAACGCGACAGCGGACGGTCGAGTGCGCGGGGCAGGAAGAAGTCGGGCCGTCGAGCTATCTAGTGCGCTGAGGCTGCGATTCGTTTTGCGGACTCGCGCGGTGTTTTCGACCCGGGGTACCTTTGGGCGTACAACGAACTGACGTCGACCAGGATACGGGTCTAGGTGTCCCCTGCGGCTGTCCTCGCGGACGTCGAACACTTGCTACCGTCTCCACACGGCGTTGTCGCGCTCGGCTGTGCGCGACTCGGACTCGGGACACGGTGAGTGGTTCTATTGGCGCGATTTCGGGATTCTGGCGTGCTGTTGCGTGCGCGCGGAGGCGAGGCGAGTCTGCGGCGTGCATAGGTGATCTCTGTGAAGGTCTAAGACGGGGCATGGTAGTAGTCGCGTTCCGGAAGGGTGAAGTGTACCCGTCGAAGCGGGGTTTTGCTAGGAGACGAGGTTGTTCGCGGGAGTTCGTATTGTGGAGTCGCGCGTTGACGTTTCTCTTGCAGATGCACGACTCGGAGCTTGCGTGGCGCGTCGTCGAACATGACCGCGATGCGATTCCGACTCGAACAGGGGAGCGCGATGGCGAGCCCGCCGCCGTATCCAGCGGAGCGGAGCTGAGCCGCGAGCCGTTCTGCGGGTAAAACGGCTGCACGGGCGGAAATGGCGTTGTGTTGCTCCTCTGGGGTACGCACAGGTGCGTATAGTCGAACCTCGCGGTATCCTGGAGCACACAACTAGCTTACATAATCTTCCGCGGTACGCGTCCAGGTTTCCTCGCAGCCATTCTCATGGATGTCGACGCCTCTGCACAGAAGTTACTTTTGCCTGCAGCGCATGAGACTCTGCCGCCGCAAGATGTGGCAAGTGAAGCCTCCAACGAATGCTTTACGCAAGTCCGCAACGCATTTAGGTCATCGTTGCGGAAGTCTGGCGGCTCGTGATTGTTGTAAGACGTCCCTCGCAAGCACAGGCTGCGCACCTAAGGCGTCGTCGCAATCAACCTTGTGTCCATTTGGTGAGTGAGGTCCTCAGCACGGTCTCGAGATCCGGTATGCTGTTGCGTGTATGCGGAAGCTTGAGGCTCGAGACGAGCCCGCGTCTTCGTGAACCGCATCTGTTGCAGAAGCGGTGGCGGAGCGCCACAGAATTACCCGTCGCACTGTGGAAGTGTCCCGTGCGCTCGCCGGGGGCAGGGATGCTGGTAGTAGCGATCGATGGTGGATGATATTGAGAGATGTGGTGAAGATGCTGCTGCGGGACGTACGCGGGGGAGATTCGTGTTGCCTGCGCTCTGAGATTCGTTTTACAAAGCTGAGACGACTCGGTTGAGTATTCAGACCTCGCCGTCGAAGCTCGATAGGACCGCGCTGCCTCTTCGAGGTGGTACTTCTACGAGATCGCACCCCGCGTAGCTCCCCTTCCGGAATGGATGTCTTCACCAGGGGGGGACTCTCATGAGAAGGTGCGCCACGCGTTGGTGGTGTGATGCTGTGCGGCCGCCTGTTTGGGCAGGATCCGCTCTTAACGACCTCAGGCAGCTGTTTCTCCCCCACATTCAGCTCGCTTATGGTACGCCTTGTTCCTTGGTGAAGCCGGTTTGCTAGCCCCTGACTGCCCCCAACGGAAGGTCTGATTCGGCCTCTCCGAAGGCCGTGCCGTCGTAGGGGTTCGCGCTAAAGGCGAATACCGGCATCCGTCGACGACAGACACCGCGCGGCCTTGAAATGGAAATCCGTCGTGCAGTCCAACGCTGATATCCTTGTTACGCCAACATGGAGGCCGTCGGAAAAGGCAGGTGCACCGGAACAAACCCGTTCTAGCGACTCGTATGGAGAAGGGGGCGTGGTCCGCCCCGATTTGGTTACCCACAGACGCCCCCCGGGGTTCGCCACTGCCATGACCCCCGCAGGGATATAAGGGGCTGGCTTGGGGGAATCCCTCGAACGACTCCCGCTCTCCTGCCACACATCGCCACCGTTCCTGCTACTCGACACCCTTGCGCTACATCCCCGCTCGAACACTCGCCCGCCATGCCCTCTCAAGATACCGACGCTCTTCTCGACCCGTCGTTCACGGATGGCTCCGCAGCGCTGCTATCGCCACAGGAAGTTGCCAGCGAGCATGCCAAGGGTACGAATCACGTCTTTGCCCTATCACTCTCACGATGCTAACCCACGCTTTATGAACATATCGCTCATCTTCGTATTCTCGAAGGCGGCATCGACCGAATGTCCGCCACTGGCACTTCGTCAGACCACGGGTCCTATGCTCCAGACGACGAAGACACCGCCACAGACGTTCAAGGTTACTTCGAAGCGCCCGACTCTGCCTGTCCAGTGGAGAGGCGCTATGGCGCGGACGCTCTGCAGGAACAGCCCGCCTCCGCCCAGCTACCGCTGCTGCAGGTACAGAGCTCCGCGACGGGCTTCACAGGTCTAGTCGCAACGCTTGCGTCATCTGGTGACATGACGATGGTCGCCCCGGTTGAACACCGGCGCAGCCCCACTCCGCCAAAGCTCCAATCGTCTACGAACGCTGCCGTCGGTGCGCTAGGCCCGATATTAGACGCAGATCCCTCGAATCATCCCATGGGCATGCCGAATGAAGATGAAGATGACGAATACAAGACAATCACCAAGGAAGAAGCCCTTGTGAGAAGTGAGCAGACGCCGCGCATTTTGCAGTGGCAGCCCGCCGCCAATGGACACACGGGGGCAATTACGTCGCTCACGTATTCCCATGACAGCACGATGCTTGCGACCGGCTCGGACGACACCTCCATCGCCCTCTGGAACACGTCCAACCAGACCATCGTCCGCAAGTGGGACGCGCACACCGACGTCGTATGGGAGCTCGCGTTTTGCCTCGACAACAAACGGCTCGCGTCCGCCGGCGCGGACAGCAACGTCATGGTGTGGTGGGTTGAGACAGGTGAATGCCTGGCAACGATGACTGGGCACGAGGAGACCATCCACGGGATGGCGTGGTCCGCGCACGGGAAATACATTGCGTCGGGCTCAGACGACATGAGCGTGCGCCTGTGGGATGCGGACACGTATGAGCAAAAGACGGTGCTTGAGGGCCACGAAGCGATGGTCACATTTGTGCGCTTCTCCCGCAACAGCCGCTGGCTCGCCTCGGGTGCGGCGGACTACTGCGGACGTCTCTGGGACGTCGAGGCGGGCACGCCGCATGTGGTACTACGCGGACACAGGGGGATGCTCTGGAATGCAGACTTCGACGCGGACGACCGTAGGCTCGTGACGTGTTCGGACGACGGGAGCGCGCGCGTATGGAGCGTAGAGACGGGCGAGATGCTCGTCAACATTCACGAGCACCAGAGCCCGGTGTGGAGCGTCGCGTTCAGCCCGGGCGGGACGCGCGTGCTCACAGCGTCGAGCGACTCCACGGTCAGACTCTCTATGTCGTCCACAGGCCGGGGCAAGTTCGTCCTCAGTGGGCACGAGAGCATGGTCAACACTATATGCTTCTCGCCCGACGGAAAGTACGTTGCCTCAGCGTCATGTGACGAAACCGCACGTTTGTGGCACGCTGCCGATGGGAAGTCTCTCGCCACGTTTGACGAGCACAACGACAAGGTGACACTAGTAGCGTTCGGTCCTGATGGCGACACTCTCGCATCGGGATCAGATGATGGCACCGTTCGCATCCGATTGAGAAAGGAATGGGATCCCTACGGTGCAGAACAAGACGAAGACGACAGCCACGACGACGGCGACGACGACGAGTAGGAAAAGAGGGTATACGAGGAGCAAGCTGAGAAGGTAGTTGAGACTGAACGGGAGGCTGAAGGTGCTGGAAATGGTGACAAAAATAGCAAAACACTAAGGGGAAGATACGAGCGAGTTGACGGAAAGCAGAGGCAATGGTGTCGAAGTAAGCAAAGAAACCCGTGGCATTATGTCTGATTATTTTGCACATACGGAATGAGATCGTCTATTACTTGTATTGGGTACACAGATAGTCCATGCTACGCCACCCAAAGCGCGTCGTGGGCACACTTTCATCAAGGAACGCTCACTCGAATTTCGAGTGCGGCTCCGAATTCTCGCGATTCTTAAGCGAACCCTGGTCGTAATCCGTAAATCTGATGTTTTGAGCTCGAACCCGTGTTTGCCGAATGTCGTCGAAAGGTTCGCTGTTCAAGTCAACGTACTACAAGCAGATGAGTTTGTCGGCCGACCAGGGTGCAATCGTTTGCTGTGAGACGAGAGATGTGGAGCTCGGACGTCATCTCAGACTCTCTTGTTCCCTTCGAACGTGCGCAGGGTCGGGCCTCCAGTAGTCAACACCGCGGTCGTCCGCGTCGAAGTTAAATCGCGACATCGGACCACAGTGTATCTCCGGGCACGGGCGATACCACTGGCGGGTACGGCGGGCCCGGTGTGAGTTCCATATACGGGCGCAGTTGCCCTTTCCGCATGACATGGCCGGCCACCTTTCGTGTCGTGCGGGGGATCTACAAGGAGAGCTCCGTCGTGGTTCTATGAGCGGGTTTCTTAAAATGTCTCCGCGTTCAAGACGTGTAACCTCATCCCAGCGGTCGGAGCCCAGCGCGATCCACCTCTCGTCCACGGATCACGCGAAGCGGCTCCGCTTAGTATCCAATTCGTGCTCGTTCCGGACCCTTGTCGCGAGTTACTTGCTCATCTTGGCTAAATAGTCCTCGTCCTTGTCCTCCGAGCTGGCGACGCGAGACGAGTATTGTCGAAAGAGACGGCGAGCACGTACACATTGTCGCCATGGTCTTCACCGGGGCCAGCTTGCTGTTGTGGGAGTAGGCAAGCGCCACGACCCCACCTTGGTGGTCTTGTAAAAACGGCGGCGGCGGTCTGCGCGTCGTTCGGAAGCTGGGGGTGCCTCCCCCATTGACGTCGGACGTTGTAGTAGGGTGCACACAGGGTCAGCATCATATACAAGCTTGGTTCAACCGAATTGGACGTACTCTAGCTACAGACCGTATAGGGAGTGCCACTCGAAGGCGAGGGGAAGGGCGCGGTGTGAGGTGATGGCTGGTTGACTAGAATAAACATGACTGCCGAGCGTTGCGAGCTCACGGCGCGGCAAGAAGTGAAATGACTCTACGGAAGATAATGGGTCAGCGGTCCGGAAAAGCGGTGGGCAGTGCAGGCCGCAGAGACCTCTTACTCTGATCCCGGTCATATACCTGAGACAAGATCCTGGATATGCCACAGAAGGCGTATCAGAAAGTATAAGTCAAGACGGCACGAGCAGCGCGCTCGCGCACCATTGAGATGGGCATACGCACCCACTATAATACAGGTATCATGCATAGATTCCTTCGTTGTTTGTGTAGACGAAGAGGGCGGCGTCTCAAAGCAGGTCGTTACTAACGATCTTGGGTAATCGGTCCGCGCATGAGACGGATTGGCGAGCCTCGAAAGACCTAGAGACAATTGTCGAGTCAGCGTCGACACCGATATCGGCTTGCATGTAGGCAATATTGTTTGAGTCAAGGCATTTTTTGTTTGGCGGTGTATCGGGGCATGTCACCGCCCGCGGCAGTAATACGGCGAAGAGAAGACGAATAGAGGCTACCGCGCCGCCTGCGCAGTGCAGAAAGGATTATAGAGTGAGTTTCAGCACGCGACTAGAAGATAAACATAGCAAGGATGCTCGAAGCTGTGGACGGTGGCAAGAAAGAAGGACTGCGGTGGTAGAATGGCGGCGTTGTTTGCGATTGTTAGGATCCAAAGCCTCCGCATTCCGTTTTGGGAAACGTGCAACGCGTCTGCTGATGTAAGCGTGGTCGATGAACGGCAGATGTGGGCGCTAAAGAGCTTTGACTTGCCTCATCGTCTGCGTCGACCCCTCCGTCTTTTTTGTTTTCAGCGTTCTGTGTTCTGCCACGACCGGCCTCGGATGGAGTCTCTCAACCTGAACAACCTCGCCAGCTCGCTCCCGGCCTCCAGCTATGCCAAGGCGGAGAACGAGCTTACGAACAACTTCAGAGGTCCGTGCACATCTCTCTCTCATCTCCCGCCTCGCCTCGGTCGGCGGCGACCGATCCGCCACCCCACTCCGCGATGCGTCCCTCCACGACGACGGGCATCTTCCGCGGTGTCGACATTAGGCGAAGACGAGGGCGGGGGACGTCTACCGCAGAACAGCTCGCTCACCCACTTTGTCCGTCGCCGCAGCTGCCGCCCTAAGCCTCACTACCCTCTTTCGCTCTTCGAAGACCGCCTCCAAGCGCGCGTACAACGCTGGATACGCAGCAGCATGCCAAGATCTCCTCAACATGATTCAGCAGGGCGTCTCCACGGACGCCGATCCAAGCCGCGAAGTCACCATCGGGAGGATCATGGACTACATCGAGGCCCGACTCGAGGCCATCAAGGCCCGCGAAGAGGAGGAGGACGAGGAGGAGGAGCGGTCGTCCAAGGCGGGCCCCAGCACGTCGAAGCCGAAGCCCCCTAGTCCCCCGCTGGCCCCGGCGCGGGCCCGCGAGACGGTGCGTCCCACGCATACATCGCCGTCTTATCATGGCTGACTTCTGGTGCGTATTTAGGCCGTCGTAGCGCCGCCGACGCCGTACACCCCGTCCACGATGGATACGTCTCGCACGTACGCCGCACCCGCGCTATCTTCTCCGACGCCCGCCGCAGCGCCCCTGCGCCCCGTATCAGCGGCCATCCAGCCCCTTTCGCGCGCCTCCAAGGCCCGCTTCATACCCTCTGTCAACGCTAAGGACCTCTCGTCCGTCCCACTCCCCGCTCCCGCCGCCTTGCCCTTCGCGTTCGAGCCTCCAGCGGTCACGGACGTCACCGTCCCTTCCATGGGCGCACTCCCTGACTCCGCCGCCCCCTCGCTCAACGCTACGCTGAAGCGTCGGCGAGAGGCGACCGGTATGGACGCTCCGCCGGCGCCCGGATCGGGCGCGGAAGCGATGACTGGTGCGGTGGGCGGTTCGGGCACGAGCCGGCGGCGCACGCGCAGCTGGCGCAACTCCGACCAGCACGGCGCGCACCAACACCAACATCAGCAGCATCAACAGCAGCTGGACGAGACTATGGATGTAGAGGAGGAGGGTCCGCAGCGGAAGCGCGTCGCGCGGCGGTGAGATTCGGTGATGCAGGTGTGGCGGACCGCGTTCTTTTAGTTTTCGTTTTAGTATGCATTCGCCCTTCTTTACATACGACGCTGGCGGGACGGTGCGTTTGCGGCAGTCGCGTTTACATGAGCACATGATGATTGTATCCTATAGCCATATGATGTTTGTTGCGTAACCTTATGTTTGGCCGTGGCTGCAATTGTATAACATGTTCATTGGCTTCTTTACGAGCACGCGGAAGACGCGCGAGGGTAGCGGATGGCCATCACGTTCGCGAGGGTTACATATGTTTAAACTATAGGTGAGTGGTATACATTTTCACAGCGGTAACTCGAGCTCACCTTTCCACGTTGCTTAGGTCGCGGCTGCCTGCCGGGTCACCCCCACCAGCTCAAACTCGCATTCTACGGCCGCGCACCAATATGCGTCTGTCCTCGCGCTATTCAACGGCAAGTCCTCCGGAGTATCTACCTCCGCGCCTACCCTCGCAACGACCCCCGCCGCCGCCACCGCGGCCTCCCATGTACGTACGTCCCTACCCTCCCCGGTCCTCTTCCCCTCCTCGTGCACCCGATGGAGACGTCGAGCGTCTTGCACGATTTGAACACCGTTTTTGTCACGGCCACGGATACGTCCGGCTACCCTGCAGTACGCGAGCTCCGGCTTCGTCTTGTCGGTGTTCCGATCGTGACCGCGCTCGTCCAAGCGTTTCATAGAGTCTGGGAACTCTACGTTTACACCCCGTACGACGGATGCGCGTGGTCCGGCGCTGCGCCTTTATACGGTATCGACGCGACGCACGAGGCGAACCGGACATCGCAGATGTAGAGTTCGTCTTGCGCGTTTGCGCGTTCGCTCGGGTACTGCCATGGCCCTCACTGTCCAGTCGAGCACCTCGAGGTCGGGAACGTTGCGCCGCGGTTATGAGTCAGTGCAGGGACTGTACCGGGAACAAAGGAACGGAAACCGACGGGCTTTGGCGCGATGACCAACGCCAGCCGCGGGGTGGGTGTGAATGAGGTGGAGATGATGCGGAGGGTTGTGGCGGACACGAGGTAGCCAACGGCGGGTTTCATACTCGGGCACGGGTGGTGGGCACCCAGGACTAAGGCGCAGCTGAGCGCGAGTAAGAAAGAGCGGCGGGATCCGGAGAACGATCCGGAGGCGTTGCGCACGATGTTCGATCACGGCAAGGAGGGGCGCACGAGTGGGTGGGCAGGCGTGAGGGCCCTATCTCTATAAAACCGGCCACTGAGCTCAGTGGCCAGATACAAACTGGATACAAGGTCAGTGTTAGGGGTGTACCGCCGCAACGACCTGGACAACAGGCTTGTATCCGGGGGTTTTCTGGTAGCCTAGAAGCATGGCTACACGATGCAGGTGGTTTCAGGGTGGTAGCTATCCTGTACGGTGCACAATCACATGAATACAAGCGGATACAAGGGCATTGGCTGGATACAAGGTTGAATACAAGCTTGTATCTCCTCAACGAGCCTGGATACAAGGGTATATCTTGGTGTTTTCTGATAGCCCTGATTGAGGGCTACCCGAATCTGATGCGATTGTGGCTGTGCACCTTCGAAAAAATGATGCTCTGGCTAGTGCCTCCTGGTGCAAGGGCCATGGACACCCAACCACCTGACCTCTTATCTGGATACAAGGGACCTTATTATAGCCTATAATCAGGGCTACCATGCGCATTTTAGTTCGCATCAATAGCTGCCCTGGTGGTGGAGATATGGCCTGGGCAGTGGTGGATACAGGCTGGATATGGGACTACTGCAAGTCTGATATCTCCGCAGCCCCCTTGACAACTGGCTTGTATCCGGGGTCCTTTCTGTAGCCCTGAACGATGGCTACAAGATGCAATTTAGTGCGTGGGAATATCTGCCCTGGTGGCGGAGATATGGCCTTGTATCTGCTGGATACAAGATCTGGATACAAGATCAGTGTATGGTCGATATCTCCGCAACCCCCTGGACAACCGGCTTGTATCCGGGGGTTTTCTGATAGCCCTGAGCAGTGGCTACAACATGCAATTTGATTGGTGTGAATAGCTGTCCTGGTTGCGGAGATATGGCCTTGTATTCAGTGAATACAAGCTGGATACAAGCTGGATACAAGGT